TTATTTGAAGGAGGGAACTTGAGCCATTTATGGTTTACTCAAACCATAGTTTAGCAGGTGTAAAGCAGAGCAACAATATAACAGAAGTTTCAAGTGGAAATTTGCCCCCTAACATCATAATTATTACTGGATTACCTTAGGAGGACTATTACCTCAGTTTCCCGGCTGTAGTAAAAGTTTAATGTTAGCTAACTTTGGCGTTCAACTTTTAGCACTGTTGGTAGAAAACTTTATAACCTATAGCTTTTTTAAAAAAAACCTCCCTCTGCAAATAAAACTCTTTTTGATAATGATGAATTTTGCATCATTCATGGAATCTTGCAATCTCCCAAGAATTCTGAACTTTAATAGTGTAGCATCACTGAAATGAGAAATAATTATAATCAGTTAGATACACCCATCATACTGTAGATCCCAGTGATATGTTTTGCTTGTTTGTGACACGGGCTTCTGTAAATTCGAGTTTATGGTTTCTCGTGTAGCCCAAACCCAGTCGGTTGCAGTTGGTTCAGGAAGACCTGTGAAGTAAACCATGGTTTAAGAAGGTAGATGAACGAAGTGTTTCTGTGGTTTCTTCCACTAGACTTTTGTACATGGACTAGCAGTGCAGTTTCAGATTTCCGCAGGGGCAGCTGAGTGCATAAAGATTGAATGAGCCCAACTTGTAGGGATTCACACGACACACGATCAGTTAAGTCGCATTGCCTGGTTCACACAACCAAAACCAAGATAGATTGTATAAGCTCAGTCTTTGAAAACCCTTCTCCCTCAACAGCAGTGTTTTCCTAACATGTTGCCTCTGACTAGTACTGAACTGCAACCCCACAACATTTGGTCAGTGTGTCCAAAGCCAACTGAGGTTGATGGGAATCTTGGGCCAACATATTTGATGTGGAGAAAGCTTGGACTTCCTTGATTCTTTTGGACAGTTTTTTTCCCCTACCTTGCATATTAAGCACACATATACTGCTCCAAAAAAAATAAAGGGAACGCAAACTCCTTCAGTTCCATGTTAAAATGTTCCCTTTATTTTTTTGAGCAGTATATTTTGCCCACCCCCTTTTGGTTGTTCATGTCCTCTATCCTGATTATTTCCTTCATTGTAAAACCTCTGGAATGTTCCGCTCTCTTCATTCTTGCTTTCTGCCTCCGGCACCTCTCCCCACCCCGAAGAACAAGAGATGTAAAGACTGATGACCTCACACCTTGAACTTAAACTTGAACTTGAAGTTAATCATTGATCTTGGACGGCAATTTTAAAAGACATTTACTGCTTGGCAGTTAGAATGCCCGGCACAGGAATGTACAATTTGCATTTAGAGTGGCCAGGGAGAATATTTGGTATTTCCAGATAAAAGAGCAGAGAAATTGAGGAAGGGTAGGTTTCTCCTTCATCCAATCAAATGTACCTCCTATTTTCTATGTCTTCATGCAGTTTGGCAGCCAGATGCTTTACCACGGAGAGACCCTTGTGTTGCTTGATTCCCAGAATCTGGTATACTGCTCTTGAATATAGAAGCTCCACTTAGTTGTAGTTAGAAGCTATTGATACGGTAGATCTTTCTTCTCTATCCTAATTTGAAACCTTTAGCAATCATCCTCATTTTTTATTCACTCTTCATCCCATTCTCTGCTTTCTGAGTTTCTTCAACCAGGCACTTTCCAAATTTACTGACCCTATAATTCCCAGAATTCCACACCAGATAGGAATTCTGGTAGCTGCAATCCTAACTCTTGATTGTCTTAGACCAGGGGTAGGCAACCTTGGCTCTTTTATGACTCGTGGACTTCAACTCCCAGAATTCCTGAGCCAGCCATGCTGAGGGGAAAGGGAGAGGTTTTCAAGCTGAGCCATGCTGGCTCAGGAATTCTGGGAGTTGAAGTCCACGAGTCATAAAAGAGCCAAGGTTGCCTACCCCTGTCTTAGACAGTGTTCCTCAACCTTGTCGGTTTTAAGATTGGTGGACCTCAACTCCCAGAATTCCCCAGCCACAGCAAGACTGGATGGAGAATTCTGGGAGCTGAAGTCCACCCAGCTTAAAGCTGTCATGGTTGAGAAACACTGATCTGAGGGGGGTTCTTCTTCTAAGAGGGAAAGCAGAGCCCGTAGGAAAGGATTACAGTAGACAGAATAGGCAAAAAACTTTATTTTTTATCAGATAAAGTTATATAGTACCACTCAGTCCCACAAATATCTTCCCCCAGGTAAATAGGAAAAACACATACAGCTGATGAAAAGACCAGTAGCTCACAAAAGCTTATGACCTTAATAAAACATGTTAATTTGAAAAGTTGCTGCCAGGTTCCTGCTGCTTTGAAGTTGCCATCAGTAACCCACGATCTTCCCAAACTGCATCAGGCTGCCTTGAAATTGGCAATCTAATTGAATAAACTTAAAAGGGAGACATTCTAGGAAAGATTAGGGGCATGGCACAATTTTGCCTTTGTTAGATAAAAGAATTTCTATATAAATTATCTCCATGGGTGACTTAAGAGCAGGAGTCCCCAACTGGTACTAGGCCACAGCATGCCAGCAACTGGTCCACACAAACAAGCAAAGCCCCATCTGTGGGATGCAGGCAGCACACAAAACCACGCACTTTCTGGTCCGTGGAAAAACCCCTCTGCACGGAACCAGTCCCTGGTGCCCAAAAGTTTGAGGACCTCTGACTTAGAGTCTGGTTTTTGCTGTTGAATACATCAGCTTTTTCCAACTGGGTCCTCCAAATATGTAATGGCCTTGCTGTCTGGAACAATTAATAATAATGATGATGATGATGATGATGATGATGATGATGATGATAGTAAAGTTGGAAGGGACCTTGGAGGTCATCTAGTCCAACCCTCTGCTCAGGCAGGAAACCCTATACCATTTCGGACAAATGGCTGTCCAGTCTCTTCTTAAAAACTTCCAGTGTTGGAGCATTCACCGCTTCTGGAGGCAGGTTGTTCCACTGGTTAATTGTTCTAACTGTCAGGAAGTTTCTCCTTAGTTCTAGGTTGTTTCTCTCCTTGATTAGTTTCCACCTGTTGCTTCTTGTCCTGCCCTCAGGCGCTTTGGAGAATAGCCTGTTCTTGTCCATCCATTTAAGACCCAAGAATAGCCAATGGCCGTGCATTAACAGGAACCGTGTGATACTCTTTTGATCTCTTCTGTTTTTCCACTGAGAGATTAAAGAAAAAGGTGAAACTTCATAGCCAAGCTTCAGAGTTTTTCCTGTTTTGCACACAAAATGATGAATTAGATGAGATTTTGTTTCTTGCCTGCATTCAAAGGGTGGTCCTCAACATGCTGTCAACAGAAGTTCCTCCTCTGTACTATTTTAGAAGCTTCTGGGCCAGATGATAGCAGTTGTAGGATATCCGGAAGTCGATGGAAGAGTTCCCTCCATTCTGTATTTAGCAAGTGTCAGGAACTTCAACATGCCTTGACAATCATTCCTGGTCCTTCTAATAAACCCTGCAGTTTCAAAGTCCTTTCCCTGAACACAGATAGAAAAGTTAAAAAGAAAAAAAAATGTGCTGAAATCTACAGGTGTGTCCCAAGACGCACGCAGGTCACGGGAAGGAGAGTACATTGCAAACCAGAGAAGAACAGAGTCTCTGTTTTAAAGAGTTTACAGGCAGGAACTCCAGCTACATCTGTGCGGCACAAAATAACACATCCTTAAAAAGAAAAAAGAAAAAAAAAAAAGCTTTTAGAGTTTCTTTTGAAAACGCAGCCGTGCAAAAGGCCAGGACTTTTGGCTACATTTTATTGTTACAGCCTTGAATGCTGCCCGGAGAACAGTTGACACAGATCTTTTATTTAATGACAGCTGCAATTCGCAAAAGATCCGCCTTCCTGATTTTGGGGACTGGGCAACTTCAGCATTACTTCATCACTTCACAATTCCCTATGCCAGTGGTGGCGAACCTATGGCATGCGTGCCAGAGGCGGCACTCGGAGCCCTCTCTGTGGGCACACGTGCTGTTGCCCCAGCCCCGCCTCCCCCACGGCCCCCTCCTCACCAGCAGCCCCCCCTGGAGGAGAGTCGCCCCCAGACACAGCCCGCATGGAGCAGCGCAGCCAAGGACATAGCCGGGCAGCAGGGACAAGACTCCAGCCTCATGCGCCTTAGCGTGCACATGATGCTGCGGGGTGTGGGCGGAGGGCATGGCTGCCATGGTGCTGCAGGGCTACGTGGGCAATCTGCTGCGTGGCCCTGTGGGTGGGTGGGGCAGGGGGCAGGTGGGGGTGGAGCAGGCAGGGCGGGAGGCAGGGTGGGGACAGGGGGCGTTTTTTGGGCACTCGGTCTCTAAAAGTTTCGCCATCGCTGCCCTATGCTATCTCTGGAAAATCCTTCGGACCTCGGGCTAATTTCAGGCATCTTCAATATTGCTATCCTTTTTGCCTTCCCTTTATTAAGTGGGACATTGTAAGTTCATTTTGAACTGTGAATAGCAGGTATCCACTCCACCTGTTTTTGAAACACCCCAAAATAGGATAGGAGTGGATACCACTGATATTATAGTTAGATACAGGTAGTCCTTGACCTACGGCCACAATTGAGCCCAACGTTTTTGTTGCTAAGTGAAACATGGGTTAAGTGAGTTTTGCCCCACTTTACGGCCTTTCGTGCCACCGCTGTCAAGTCGTTAGTAACACGGTTGCCCCATTGGCTTTGCTTGTCAGAAGGTCGCAAAAGGTGATCACATGACCCCGGGACACGGCAACCATCATAAATATGAGTCAATTGCCAAGCGCCTGAATTCTGATCAGTTGACTATGGGACGCTGCAAAGGTTGTAAATGTGAAAAACGGTCCTTTTTAAAGTGCCGTTGTAACTTTGAACGGTCGCTAAATGAACTGTTGTAAGTCGAGGACTACCTGTTCGGCATAGAAGTGTTTCTCAACCTTGCCAACTTTAGTTATGTCTGGACTTAACTTCCAGAATTCCCCAGCCAGCCTGCTGGAATTTGAAGTCCATACATCTTAGAACTGCTCAGCTTGAGAAACACTGCTGTGTAGTATTTTTCATTCTTGCTCACTTCTGATGCTGATATCCTAGAATTTTGAGTTATTCTTTAAAATGAATTGGTTTCCTTTTTTCTGTCTCTTAACTCTCTCCACCCACCCGGATGTCTTCTAGATTCTGTGGCCTGCAAAAAGCAGGATAACATGCATAGTATTATTGATACAGGTATTTGAATGTTTAGAGCAGGGGTAGTCAACCTTGGCTCTTTTATGACTCGTGGACTTCAACTCCCAGAATTCCTGGGAGTTGAAGTCCACGAGTCATAAAAGAGCCAAGGTTGACTACCCCTGGTTTAGAGGTTTTTAAGAAGAGATTGGACAGCCACTTGTCTGAAATGGTATAGGGCCGTGGTGGCGAACCTATGGCATGGGTGCCACAGGTGGCACGCAGAGCCCTCTATGTGGGCACGCGTGCCGGTGCCACAGTCCTAGGCCTTCAGCTGGGTTTTATAAAACCTTTTCGCTTTAGTCCTCCACCGCTGTTTGGGGGGAAAAAAAGGTTCAATCAATCAATCAATTTCAGCTTCTCGTGGGAAAAAAAAAGATCTCGCAAAGTTGAAATTGATTGATTGAACTTTTTAGTCCTACCCAGTCTGCCGTTACCACTGTAGCCACACCCAGCCAATGGGCCATGCCCACTCGGCACCCAACGATACATAAGCGGGTTTTGGGTTTCAGTTTGGGCACTCGGTCTCTAAAAGGTTCGCCATCACTGGTATAGGGTCTCCTGCTTGAGTAGGGGGGTGGACTAGAAGACCTCCAAGGTCCCTTCCAGCTCTATTCTGATTGATTGATAGTTACTAGTTCTTGGGTCTAATGTTCCTCTCGATTCTGTCTGCAGTGGATTTGCAGATGTGCTCCGGATGTTCTCACACCCAGCAAGAAATCGCCGTAGAGATTGAAAGGACGCACAATCTCACCCTCAGCATGCAATTCAGCTCAGGACAACTGCTGTCAAGCTATGTGAGTCCTGAATATAAGTGGAACAAATTAATGGAGGGTATGGGCCTCTGTCCACAATGGGGGAAATGTGTTTTTATTTAATTTACAATGCTTCCAGGGTAGAACGGAAGAGTGGACTTTGGCCTATGCAAATTGATAATGACTTGAATTTCCTGAATGAAGGACCTTGATATTTTTCTCAGAACAAATGCGTAAAAACTGTCGTACCGTAGCAGGTGCACAGAGACAGCCTGTTAATAATTCTCGGTTTTTCAGAATCTCACATAAAGATGTATAATCTATGGCAGAGGTCCTCAACCTTTTGGGCACCAGGGACCGGTTCCGTGGAGAAAGGTTTTTCCATGGACCAGAAAGTGTGTGGTTTTGTGTGCTTCCTGCATCCCACAGATGGGACTTTGCTTGTTTGTGCGGAACGGTTGCTGGCATGCTGCAGCCCGGTACCGGTCCATAGACCGGGGGTTGGAGACCCCTGATCTATGGGACTGTATTTCCTATCCACCCCACTCCCAGCCCCAAACCCACTGGGTGACCACAGACCAATTCTAGTATCTCCGCCAAACCTAAAACTGTCTAATAAAATGAATTGAGAAAAGTAACTGCAATGGTCTTATTCACATATATTCCCCACCTACCCAGTAGTATGGATAGAAATAGTCCTTGAGTTACAACCATTCATTTAGTGACCATTTGAAGTTAACAACAGCACTAAAAAAGTGTTTTATGACCGTTTTTCACACTTCACAACCATTGCAGCATCCCCATGGTCATGTGAACAAAATTCGGACACTTGGCAACTGGCACATATTTACGATGCTTGCAGGATCCCTCCAGGTCATGTGATCCCCTTTTGCGACCTTCTGGCGAGCAAAGTCAACGGGGGAATGTCAGATTCATTTAACAACCTCGTCACTAACTTAACAAATGCAGGGTGGCATGTGTCTGACTAATGAAACACTTCAAAGAACTTTCAGGCATTGTTTAACCTAAAAAGCCTTTATTAGTGTAGCAGAGTGTCAGCACGGCATGGAGGATGCCAAGATCTGAATTTCCCTTCCTTTGCACATAACATTCCAGGCATTTCCCCTCCCCTATTTTGGGGTCATGATTCACATCTTCCAATTAACCTGGAGGGCAAAGATTCACTTCCGTTCCCTTCCACAATCTGAATTAACTCTAAAAATACCAGACAGTTCTGCATATTTTGTCAAAGCAAGAATATTCAATATTAGCAGCGTTGACATCTGCGCCCCCACCTTACAAAAAGGATAGGTTCTGTATGTGAATAAAAGCATAGGTCAGGGATTATTTCTTGGTTTGTTGGGGTGTTTCGCATGAAACCTTTTGACGAGTCTGTCAGCTTTCACCTCACTGGATTTTACCCAGGTGGCTTCAGACAATGGGTATCCCTTCCACAGGGATTCACTTAACCGCTGTGGCAAGAAAAGTGGTCAAATGGGGCAAAACTTACTTAACAACTCTCTCACTTAGCAACAACCAATTTGGGCTTAATTCTGTTCCTTAATTGAAGACTACCTGTAACTTAGTCCTATCGAGAAGGTGTCCGTCGTTTTCTGAAGATCCAAAAATCCAACTTTCGAAGAACTGACGGTCTGACTTTTCTCTGTTTAGGTGCATCACCAGGGGATGCCGTTTGGTGATCCCGATTTCAACCCACTCATTCAACCCTTTCCGGGAGTCCCGTTGCCAACCCTGTCTACCACAGACTGGCTGGGCCTCACTGACCAGGAGCGGCTGCAGCAGAACGCTTCGGCCTTCTCCAATTTGCCGGTGTACTTAGCCAGCGTGAAATGCCAGCAAATGGATCTGAATCCATTGGAAACCGAGTTACACCGTCAGCTCGAATCTTCAAGCCTGCGCTGTCTGGGTCTGGAGAATAACCTCAAATCCATCATGTCTTCCCTGGACATCGCGCCGGGTCCAGCCGTATCCGCTCAGCCTCTGGAACCTGACAACGCCTTCCTTGCGAAACTCACAGGCTACTACGTTTGCCATCTCTTCCGAGACTGGGTCAACAGATGTGAAAAGGACATTGCCTTATTAACTAAGAAATATCCTGTCTAAAAAAATGCTTCTCCTTCCACATTGACCAGTGGCAGAGCTGGAAATGTGGAGGGCACAATGTGCCCCTCCCCCTGTTTAACTAAAGCATGGGTTGGATCAATTCCTCCTTTTTCTTGAGTTCACACAAAAATTAGCTATGAACACGCAGCCCCTTTAACCACTGAGTCAGTTGCAAATCTAATGGTTGCTATCAGACAGTGTCCTGAAACTTGCTTAGTTTTAAGCTAGCTTGTTTGCATCTTAGCCTGTTGTGCAAATTCGGCTTCCTTGGGTTAGCTTATGGTTTGATTACCTGTTCTGTCCAAGAAAATGGGTTTACTTAGTAACCAGGTTAAGGGTGTTGCAGCTATTGAACTATAATCAGAGTGCAGGGCTGCGGTTCGCCCAATTGTTAACGTGTCTTACAACAAACAAGGCTGAAAGTTAATAACTCTGTTCAGATCAGTTTATCGTGGTTTATCGTGGTTTTTATTATCGCCTGTTCACCGCCCTGAGTCCCGTAAGGGAGATAGGGCGGTATATAAATTCAATAAATAATAATAATAAAAGATCAGTAAGATTAGGAAACAAGGACTTTCAATTAAGAATCGATCTATATGCTATCGAAACAATTACTGGCAATCCTTGACTTACAACCATTTGTTTAGTGACTGTTCAGAGTTAAAAACAGTCCTGAAAAAAGTGACTTATGGCTGGTCCTCACACCTAGAACTGTTGCAGCATCCCCACAGTCATGTGATCAAAATTCAGACATTTGGCAGCTGGCATGCATTTAATAACTGCCCTGCTTAGCCACAGATATTCTGGTCCCAATAACAGTCATAAGTTGAGGACTATCTGTATACATCTTAAAGCTGTATAAAAGCTCTGAAATCACAAATAAACTTTGCACGGTGGACAACTTAGCTTATTAATATGTTCCAGGTGGGAAGAGGGTATCTCTTTTTTACTCAGCGAGAACCCTGAAGAGATGGCACGGTGTGTTTTCAAAGCACAAGCTTTTCCATTGCACCCTTCATGGCTGCAAAACTGGCCAGTTTCTTTCAGTGAGCGTCTCCCAATCTGGTTTTCTCTGGAACTACAGCTCCCATAATCCCATAGGCAACATGGGGGATGTGATTGTAGGTTGGACAGCTAAGTCTAGTCCAGTGATGGCAAACCTTTTAGAGACCGAGTGCCCAAACTGCAACGCAAAACCCACTTATGCAGCGTCGGGTGCCGGCTGGGTGTGGCCCATTGGGTGGGCGTGGCCCATTGGCTGGGCGTGGCTGCGGTGGTAACGGCAGACTGGGTGGGACTAAAAAGTTCAATCAATCAATTCCAACTTTGCAAGATCTTTTTTTTTCCCCGCGAGAAGTTGAAATTGATTGATTGATTGAACCTTTTTTTTATATACACGGCGGTGGAGGCCTAAAGCGAAAAGGTTTTATAAAACCCAGCTGAAGGCCTAGGACTGGGGCGAGGGCGCGTGTGCCCACAGAGAGGGCTCTGAGTGCCGCCTCTGGCACCCGTGCCATAGGTTTGCCACCACTGGTCTAGTCTAATCACATCTTTCTCCTTAGCAAGGCCAAGAAAACAGCCCCAAAAGTCACTTTGATGCACCATCCCTTCTGAATGTGGAAATGAGAATTGTGGCCTATGTGCTTGATTGTAGGCTCTAGTGCAGGGGTAGGCAACCTTGGCTCTTTCATGACTCGCGGACTTCAACTCCCAGAATTCCTGAGCCACCATGGCTCAGCTTGGAAACCTCTCTCTTTCCCCTCAGCGTGGCTGGCTCAGGAATTCTGGGAGTTGAAGTCCACGAGTCATAAAAGAGCCAAGGTTGCCTACCCCTGCTCTAGTGGGAAATATGATTCAGTTGACTTTTAATATATAGAGCAAACCCAGGTTGCTAAGGTGATTGAGTTTTAGGAGTTTGCTTCAGTTTAGGTTTTCTGAAATAATTCCATTCTCCCCTCTGAATCCGTATTTTTCATCTTCAGCCACTTAAAAATGTGTGGACTTCAACTCCCAGAATTCCTCAGCCAGCATAGGGAATTCCCCAGCATGCTGGCTGGGAAATTCCAAATCCACATACCTTTAACTGGTTGAGGTTGAGAAGCATTGCTCTATGTAACAAATGAATATTAAGAAACTGGTCCTCAATGTTGAAAAACTTGGGACAGTTTATTGTCCCTTCACTGATGCTGTTTCTTTCTCAGTAGCACCGTCCCATTTTAATGATGAGTTCTCACATAAGGTTGTGAGGGAGGATTTTTTTTAAATTGCTTTTTTCTTTTGTATTAGTTTTAATATTTGCTATGTTCTTTATCAATTCCTCCAAGATTCTTAGCGTTGTGAATTTTTATCCTTTCTCTTTTCCAGCTAAAATTCCAATTGTGAAGTTTCTTCCCTCTCGGATGTATGTTCCCAGCTAAGGGATTTTTATTTCTATATGGTTTTCTAATTAAATGTATATGTATTGTATATAGAGCAAAACTTAAATTTATAATCGTAATAAAACTATTTTAGTAGAGCCGATAGTTTTTTTTCCTCTTTTTTTCTTCTTCTGCTGCAATGAACTTATAATTTACTAGACTGATTCGCTTCTAGGAAAACAATGCAGCCCTTTCTGTTGCCAAGAAAACTTCATGGTTGTATGAATAAAATCACCAGAAATTAGTTTCAGAGTATCTTAAGTTGAAAAATTCACCTAAATGAAAGCACCTGACTGATCCTGGCTGATCTCCAAAAGCTACATAGAGTTGGATCTTATTATTACACTAGCTGTCCCCGGCCACGTGTTGCTGTGGCTCAGTCTGGTAAAAGCGTGTGTTGCTTTTACTTCCAAAAGATGGCACTGTTTTTCAAAAAAAGCATGTTTTTACCTGTTACAGGTGTGACATCTATATAATATAGGTATATAAAAACACGCGCGTATTGGAATGCAACGTTGTGTCAAAATTTCAAAGCAATCGGTGAAGAACTTTCGGAGATTTAAGATTTTGAACAAACGAACATTTACATTTTTATTTCTATATATAGATGGAAAGGAGACCACTAAGAAATCTCATGTAAATTTGGGCAGGCAAAACAACATATCTGAGGAAGGTAACAGCCAATGATTAATAGGGCTGTATCAGTCACTGGGAGCCAAGCTGGACTTGAAATTAGAGTTTTAAAAATATGTTTTACCCAAAGTGATTACCCTAATTCACACATCTTACTAAGCCATAATTAAGTGTAATTTATTTGATTGATTGATTTTTATAGCCACCCATATCAGCAAGTGACTGTGGGCAGCATTGATCATTAAATATAAAGACAATTAAAAACAATTTAAAATGATTTTTGCTACCATTGCCTGGATACCTTAAATCATTAAAGTCAAAAGCAAGCCAACCCTATCATAAAATATGGTGTTCCTGAATTATGACTTCAACAATCAACTACAGCTCCTTTAAACCTTACTTCATATATTTATTGCTTTCCACAAAGATGCACAAAGATCTTTACAGCTGAAGCTAACTGATGGTGTGACAGTGCCTATTACCCAGTTCTAATGCCAATCTGAAGAATTTAGGGGCTTCTAGTTTACGGGCCAAATGACCTACCCTCAAATTAAAACATCACAATCTGAGACATGAGTAGCAATGCCAAGCTGTGTCAAAGAGACATGGTCCCCCAAATATCTGGATGCAGCTCTAAGAGACTTGTCAAACGTTTTATGCCAATCTATTGTCTACAAATAATCCTTGAAGTACAACTATTTGTTTAGTGACCAAAGTTACAACAGCACTGAAAAAAAAGTGCTTTATGACCGATTTTCACACTTGCAATAGTCACGTGATCAAAATTCAGACCCTTGGCAACCGACTCATATTTATGACGGTCTCAGTGTCCTGGGGTCGTGGGATCACCTTTTGCGAACTTCTGACAGGTAAAGTCAATGGGGAAGCCAGATTCACTTAACAACCCCAGGTTACTAACTTAATAACTGCAGCGATTCATTTAACAATTTAACAAAAAACATGGTAAAATGGGGCAGAATCCACTTAACAAATGTCTCACTTAGCAATGGAAATTTCAGGCTCAGTTGTGGTCTCAGGTCGAGGATTACCTGTATTTTGCCTAAAGGGCAAAGGGATTACATGGAAAACTAGAGATAAATCATATTCCAACAAAAGGAACATAAACATAAATTTAAGTATTCTTCTGATTGTAGCATTCTTTTGGGAAGTGCGTGCCATAGCACAATTCTGACAAGCATTGTTCGAATCTTTCCCAAAGATAAACAACGAATTTTGTCTCATTTACCATTGTTCTCCCTTATCTGCCAAATATATTTGCTCTGGGAGAAAATATACCTGATCCAGGGAAAACGGGTGTTTACCTTTAAATGAGAATTTATGATTCGTTCAATTCATCTGTTTCCTGGTTGCACATACCTATTCATTGGAAAACAGGTAAAAAGATTAAAAAAAACCAATCCAGGTAGCTTTGGAGAAATGAAATACCGTACATCTCTAGACTTTGGTGAAAAAAGTAAGGTTCTACATTTAGGCAAGAAAAACCAAATGTACAGGTATAGTATAGGGGGTACCTTGCTCAATAGTAGTAACTGTGAGAGGGACCTCGGAGTCCTAGTGGACAATCACTTAAATATATGAGCCAGCAGTGTGCTGCAGCTGCCAAAAAAGCCAACACAGTGCTGGGCTGCGTTAACAGAGGGATAGAATCAAGATCACGTGAAGTGTTAATACCACTTTACAACGCCTTGGTAAGGCCACACTTGGAATACTGCATTCAGTTTTGGTCACCATGATGTAAAAAAGATGTTGAGACTCTAGAAAGAGTACAGAGAAGGGCAACAAAGATGATTAGGGGACTGGAGGCTAAAACATATAAGGAAAGGTTGATGGAATTGGGTATGTCTAGTTTAACGAAGAGAAGGACGAGGGGGGACAGGATAGCAGTGTTCCAATATCTCAGGGGCTGCCACAAAGAAGAGGGAGTCAAGC